TGTGTGAAGAATACTTCCTTTTGTTTGTTATAAATCTGCTGCCTATTAATTTCATCACATGACCCCTGGTTCTTCTGTTATGTGAAGGGGTAAATAACACTTCCTTATCCACTTTCTCCACACCAATCATAATTTTATAGACCTCTACCCCCTTAGTCATCTCTTTTCCAAGCTGAACCCTCCCAGTCTTTTTCATCTCTCCTCATAGGGAAGCTTTTCCATAACCCTCATCATTTTTGTTGTCCTTCTCTTCACCTTTTCCAAATTTAATATATCCTTTTTTGAGATGGGGTGACCAGAACTGCACATAGTATTTAAGGTGGGGCATACCAGGGATTTATATAGTGGTATTATGATATTTTCTGCCTTATTACCTACCACTTCCCAAATGGTTCCTAACATTTGGTTAGCTTTTTTGACTGTCACTGCAGATTGAGTGGATGTTTTCAGAGAACTATCGACAACGACACCAAGATGTCTTTGTTGAGTGGTAACAGCTAATTTAGACACCAACATTTTGTATCTATAGGGATTGTTTTCTAATACGCATTACTTTGCATTTATCAAAACTGGGCAACAAAATGGCAGATGAAATTCAATCACCCAATTTTTTGAGAACCCTTTGTAACTCTTTACAGTCTGCTTTTGACTTAACTATCTTTACTAATTTTACATCATTTGCAAACTTTGCCATCTCCCAGTTTCCAGTTCATTTATGAATATGTTGACCAAGAGTGGCCCCAGTACAGATCTCTGGGGGACCCCACTCTTTACCTCTCTCTACTGTGAAAACTGACCATTTATTCCTACCTTTTGTTTCCTTTCTTTTAACCAATTACTGACCTACGAGAGGACCTTCTCTCTTATGCTAGGACCGCTTACTTTGCTTAACAGCCTTTGGTGAGGGATTTTGTCAAAGTCTTTCTGAAATTCCAAGTACACTATATCCACTGGATCACCCTTGTCCACGTGTGTTGACCCGCTCAGAGAATTCTAATAGATGGGTGAGGCATGATTTCTCTTTACAAAAGCCACATTGACTCTTATCCAACAAATCATTTTCATCTGTGTGTCTCATCACTCTGTTCTTTACTATAGTTTTCAACTAACGTGCCTGGTACTGAAGTTAGACTTACCAGCCTCTAACTGCCAGAATCGCCTCTGGAGCCCTTTTAAAAAAAATTGGTATTACATTAGCTATCCCCAGTCATCTTGTACAGTGGCTGATTTTAGTGGTAGGTTATACACTGCAGTCAGTACTTCTGCACTTTTCATATACGAGTTCCTTCAGCACTGTTGGGTGAATACCATGTAACCCAGCTGACTTATTAATGTTTAAATTATCAATTTGTTCCAAAACCGCCTCTATCGACACCTCACTCTGGGACATTTCCTCAGATTTGCCACCTAAAAAGAATGGTTCCGGTGTAGGAAAGTCCCTCACATCCTCTGCAGGGAAGACTGATGCAAAGGATTCATTTAAGCTGCTCTGCAATGGCTTTCACTGCCTTCCGTGCTCGTTTAGCATGTCAATCCCTAGCGGCCCCACTGATCCTTTGGCAGGCTTCCTGCTTCTGATGTACTTCCAGAAACAAATTGGTGATTGTTTCAGTGACTTTTGCTAGTTGCTCTTCACATTTTTTTTGGCCTGCCCAATTATACTTTTACATTGTACTTGCCACAGTTTATGCTCCTTTCTATTTTCCTCAGTAGGATTTGCCTTACCATTTTTAAAAGATGCCTTTTTGCCTCTCACTGCCTTATTTGCTCAGCTGTTTAACCATGGTGGTATATTCTTAGCCCTCTTACTATTTGGGGTTTTTTCCCCTTCAGATTATTCATTTATTTTGAGCCTATATTATGGTGTTTTTAACAAGTTTCCATGCAGCTTGCAGGCATTTCAATTTTGTGAGTGTTCCTTTTAATTCCATATGACTAGCTTTCCTACTTGTTTGTAGTTCCCTTTCTGAAGTTAAATGCCACTGTAGTGGGCTTCACAAAGATGTTAAATTTAATGACATTATGATCTCTATTCCCAAGTGGTTCAGCTGCATTCACCTCTTGGAACAGATCCTGTGGCTCACTCAGAACTAAATCAAGAATTGCCTCTCCCCTTGTGGGTTCCAGGATTAGCTGATCCAATAAGCAGCCACTGATCGTTTCTAAAAGCTTCATCGCTGCATTCCGTCCTGAGATGACATGCTCCCAGTAACTATGGAGATAGTAGAAATCCCCAATTATGATTGAGTTTTCTATTTTTATACCATTTCTAATCTGCCTGAGCATTTCACAGTCACCATCACCATCTTGCTCAGGTGATGAGTAGCATATTCCTACTGCTATACTCTTATTAGTCAAGCATGGAATTTCTATCAGTAAAGATTCTATGGTGCATAGGCGCCGACTCTGTGGGTGCTCCGGGACTGGAGCACCCACAGGGAAAAATTGGTGGGTTCCCACCAGCAGCCAAGCTCCCCGCCCTGCCCCAGTTCACCTTGCCTCCACCCCTGAGCGCGCTGCATCCCCGCTTCTCCTCCCAGCACTTGCTGCAGCAAAACAGCTGTTTTGTGGCGTAACAAGCTGTGGGAGGGAGGGGGGAGGAGCGGGAACGCGGTGCACCCAGGGAAGAGGCGGGGTCGGGGCGGGGAGTTAGGGAAGGAGTCCAATAGGGGCAGGGAGGGGGCAGAGTTGGGGCGGGGACTTTGGGGAAGGGGTTGGAATGGGGGTGGGGCAGGGGTGGAGTCAGGGCAGGGCCGGGGGCGGGAGGGGGTCCAGTACTCACTGGCGCCAAGAGAAGTTGGCGCCTATGCTATGGTGCAGTTTGATTCACTGATTTTTTTAAAAGTATATTTGACCCTCTGTTTCCTTTCACATATAGTGCCACTCTCCTGCCAACACAACCTACTCTGTCATTCCAATATAGTTTGTATCTTGGTATTACCGTGTCCCATTGATCATCATTTCACCAAGTTTCTGTGATGCCTACTATATCAATATCTTCATTTAAAACCAGGCACTCAAGTTCATCCATCTTATCATTTAGCCTTCTTCCATTTGCATACAAGAACTTGTACAATTTGTCGATATTTAGTTATCTGCTTTGATGTGATGCAATTGAATAGGACTCCTTCTTCAGCTACTACCTGTACTTTATGAACTTCTATCCTCTCCACTTTACTAGGATATAGAGAATCCCCATTAAGGGATCCTCCCCTAAGGGATGGCTCTATCCGAACCTTGTGATCCTCCACAACTCTTGCCTTTACCCCCAGACCTTAGTTGAAAAAAAAAATCATAGAGGAGATTTTAATTTTACATGCCAGAAGTCTGGTTCCATTTTGGTTTACGTGGAGCCCACCCTTCTTGTACAGGCTCCTCCTTTCCCAAAAGGTTCCGCAGTTCCTAATAAATCCAAAACCGTCCTCCCCACACCATCATCCAATGACGAGTCAAAGAGATTGAAATTCACAGGTCAGCACATGAAGGTCTTTTAACAGCTGGGGGGTTTCCAGCAATCTGCTGTCACAGTAACTGGTTGGCTCAAGGGGACATGCTCTGGCCATTGAACCTGAGCCACATCATGCATTTGAGTCCGAGCCCTTCACTGACAGCTTTCTGACAACGTGTGAAACTCCTTCAGAATGTAAACTTTGTCCTGATGCCCAAATGTCTGTGTTAAGAACAATGTTTTGAAGTCTCTAAAATCAACATGGAGATATTGAACTGGTAGCTTAATAAGAGTTTTGCAAGCGTTGCTCTGCTGGCTGGTGGTGTGAAAAATCACATCCTTACCTGACATACCTTACTGAAAAAAGCTGTAATGTAGACACATGTATAGTGACAAAAACTCCATTAAAAAGAAATCAAGGAAATTAAATGCCCACACACTACATTAAAGCAGAGTTAAGGTTGCCCAGTACTGCCTCATGCCCTTCGAGCATGTGAATGGTGATGAAAGTGAAAACCTCCAAAAACCAGGAAATGAAGAACTGAACTACACACCACCCTGGCAATGCAACCTGAATTCTGCTCCTTCCCCCTAACCCTGGAGCTGGAAAATATCACTGGGAATAGGTCAGTAAGAGTGATGCAAAGGTTAACCAACTACCAGGGAAGTGGAAAATTTCCTTTTCTTGAAGTCTTCAAGTCTACAGCAGAGGCTTTTCTGGAAGATGTTTTCATCAAAACAGATGGTATTCAGCACACTAGAATGATAACTGAATGAAACTGTCTGGCCTGTATTATACAGGAGCTCAGACTAGGTGACCTAGTTATATCTCCTGACCTTAAAATGTACTGATCAATAATCAATAGGAGGAAGGACTCAGAGAACAGGCCATTGTTGGTGTGTGTTCTACAGGTTTGAATACCAGCATTTAGCCCCATGCACTGCAGCCATGCGCACTGTGTCAGCTGTAGCGTTACATGACCAGTGGAGGGAATCGCTGGAGCAGCTGGGCAGAGCTGTGACTGTGATTTGAAGACAGGTGCATGTGAAACTTCCTCATGTCAGTGCTGAGTGATGTAGGATGTGTCAATAAAGGTGCACAAGGGGGTGTTCTTCCCACGAGGATTGTCAGCACTCTGGTGGCGCACATGCCGGTGGTCTCCAGAGCTCAGCGAAGGGTACGTGAAGGCAGTGACTCAGAAGGACTCCTCAGTGCAAGGATAATGGTAACATTTGGAAAGTCTGCGATGGATTGTGTGCACTAGGCTCAGTGTTTGAGTGCAGGCCAAGTGTAAGTCGCTTCTGTTCCCTGCACTGGGACTAATCCCAAGCTTTGCCTCAGCAAAGAGAAGATGTTGGACTCCGTGCTATACTGCTCCTGTACTCTGTTCCCAAAGTGTTGTGTAGCAGGGCAGGGCCAAGTGCTAGTATATGTGTCATTGGCCTGTTGGAGTGTTACAGAAACAGGGCAGAGTTGAGGTTCCATTGTGGGGTGTTGTAAACCTTAACTCTTCTTTCCCCTTCTAATAACCAAGGGGACAGGAATCCTTACCCAGCGAGGTCACGGTCTCATAGTTCTCCTGCATGACGTCTCTGTAGAGGGCTCTCTGAGCGAGGTCCAGCAGAGCCCACTCTTCCTCGGTGAAATACACAGCCACCTCCTCGAAGGCCATTGGCCCCTGAAAGAGCAAGAGCCCCTCACTCAGTCCCTGCTGCCCACTGACAACCCCACTGTTCACAGGGGAGGGGCCAATCACTTGGAAGCTGTGGGAGGCAGGCAGGCGGCATAGTTCCACCCACACCCCATCACATGACAGCAGCCAGGAAACATCAAGGCGAGGGGAAACAAAAAGCACCCCCACTCCTCCCAGCAGAGAGACGGGGCAGAAGTCTTCACATTCATCACTCACCTACTAGCCAGAGGCTGATACAGGAGATAGAGCCCCAGCAGAGTCCAGGGACAACTCCCTGGTGTGAATCGCAACACCCTCCTCATTGCCAGCAACTGGATGGGAGGGGATGGGGTGTCTTCCCTGGGCCTCACTCATGGGGGCCCCTTTATATCTCACAGCAGCCTGTGGTTTGTAGGTTCAGACTGCAGTACTGGAGTCTGGTAAGTTTTCCCAACCAAGTCCAGGGGTTGTTTCCTGTTCTACAAACTAGGGAATTCCCACCTACAAACCCCAAGGGGTCTGTTACTAGGAACTAGGCCTCACAGTAACCAAATCTAGTAGGTTTGTCACACCCTGTCCTCCTCCCTTTCCCCACTCTGTGTATTTCCTGACCCCTCCCACCTCAGCACCAACCCTCACAGAAGTGCCCACCTCCTCTGTATTTACAGCCCTTCTCCCTCCAAAGGGAACCCACCAGCAACTCCCTGATAATCCCTACCTCAACTGGCTCCACTGCAGCCATTTCCCTGATCCCTGGAAGGATGAAAAGATCTGGCACAAAATATTGATGTTACGCTGCAGCCTGTTAGGGTAAAGGGGACAATTGGGGACATGTCAAAACAGGAAATAATTTCACAGCACAATTCCCCCCAGGCTCGTTCCCTGCACACGGATGTTCTAGACTGTCCTGCAACTAACCGAAAAATTCAAAACACAGTTAGTAACGGGGGAGACTTTATCTACCCAGACATCTGTCATAAAAGGTATTGAACCAAACACAAAGTGTCCAATAAGCTCCTGGAATGTAGCGGGGACGTCTGTTTCCTGGGAGGATGGAAGAAGTAACTGGAAGACAGCCATTTTAGACTGGATTCAACTAACAAGAAGGAATTAGTTATAAAACTGAAGGTGGAAAACAATAGGGGTAAAAGTGATCATGAAATGAGAGATGTCAAGATTCTATGAGACGGAAGGCGTGAGAGTAACAGAATAAGGACAATGGGCTTCAAAACAGAGCAAGAGACGGGTAAAGGAAGGTGTAGCTCCTCTGCTTACCAGGGAAGGTGAGCTCATAACAGAGAACATCAAGAAGACTAAGGCGTTTAATGCCTTTTTACATTTACCAGAAAAAGTTTAATTGTGACCAGATACTTAAAACAATTATTCTTAACCAAGAGGAGGAAGGAACAGAAACCACAACGAGAAAATAACAGATTTAAAATAAGTGGATAAGTTACATGTATTACAGTTAGCAGGGCCTAATGAAATTCATCCTAGCATACTCCAGGATTTAGCTGAAGCAATCTTGGAACAATTAACAATTATCTTTGACAACTCCGGAAGGATGATGAGGTCCCAGAGGACTGACAAAGAGCAAACATAAAACCTGTCTTCAAAAAGGGGAACAATGAAGACCTGGGGAATAAAGACCAGTCAAGCCTTACTTAGATACCCCGAAAGAAAATTGTATTAAACCATCAATGGATAAGCACCTAGAGGATAGTAAAGTGATAGGTTGTAGCCACCATGGATTATCAATTATTTATTTACTTAAGAATCCCCAGGTATCACATTGGAGAGAAAAACTGCAGCGATTTATACACTGGGGGGGTAAATTAACTATCAACTGTAGCCCATAGATCCAGCTTTAGCATTTATTTTAACATTTATTTTATGCAGCAGTAATTCAAGGAACCTACAGGCCTGTATCCTGTAAGATACTGGCTTCAGCAGTTAGCATAACGCTTGTGGCCTATGAACTCTGGCACTGATAAATGGCCTACGGGTCACCCCTAAGGTTTGGGGAACTGGAAATAGAGTGTCTAAGGGGGAATTCAGTCCATGACGACACCAGCCAACCACAGGAACATGAGCTAATGCTGGCTTTTGGATAGAACATCTGCAGATGCCTCAGCACAGGAGTAACAAGGCAACAAATAGACAAATAGAGTTGTATTAATGATTTCATTAACCTATAGGAGCAGGGCGGCAGGTTTGTATAATTTTTGGTGGTGCCCAGAACGGGTCCAAGTCCCACGCACCATCCACCACACACACACCTGCCTAAGGCTCTGGGAGGGGGTTTGGGTGCAGCAAGGGTGCAGACTCTGGGAGTGAGTTTGGGTGCTGGCTCTAGGCTGGGACAGAGGGTTGGGGTGTGGGAGGGGGTGTGGGGCTGGGCCAGGGATGAGGAGTTTGGGGTGCAGCAGGCAGACTGCCCGGGGCGGGGAGCCAGAGAGGACTCCTCCCCCAGCCCTCTCCCTGCTGACAGCAGCAAGCTCCAGGGGAGTGGGCCCCACCTCAGTCCCCCCTGGCATGACACTCACCCAAGCCCCCCCTGGCTGCTGTTCAGGAGGTCCAGCCAGGATAAGCCCCCCCCCCGGAGTCACCTGCCGTGGGGAGGGTGGGCTGCCAGGCACCTCCTCCCCTCGCCAGCGCAGCAGCCGCCAGGGCCTGCCTTAAGGAAAATGGTGCCCTGACCAAATTTGTATTTTGGTGCCCTTTGAGTTTAAGTATTAGTACTTTCACTAAAGGGTGTGTATGTGTGTGTGGGTGGGGGGGGGCTGCTGTGAAAACTCTAGGGTTTTTTTGAGGATAATTTTGAAATTAGCTGTTGATTTCACTGTACATACACAAATCCACAAATATTTCCATCAGTAATAATTAAATTATTTACACATTGGGAAAGCAAGAAAAATGCTGCTTGAAAACTTGTTAGTCAAAATTCGGGACATAAACTTGTGAATTGGGCTTGTTACAAATGAACCAGTGAATGAATAGTGAAATCAACAAATCCTTTCTGGTTTTAGGATCCTTATTTTGTATATCTTGACATGTGATATTGACACTTAGTGGTTTGTGCTGTTTTGTTGTGGTCATGTTGGTACCTGGATATGAGAACCACAAGGTGTGGGTGAGGCAATATCTTTAATTAGACCGACTTTGGTTGGTGAAAGAGACAAGCTTTCAAACCCCACAGAGCTCTTCTCCAGGGCTGTGGAGCTCAAAAGGGCACATCTCTTTCACCAACCAAAGTTGGCCCGAACAAAATTCTTACCTCACCCACCTTGTCTCTCTGTTTGTGTCTTAACAGCTTTAAAGCTTGAACTCTTTGAACCTCAACTTCTACTGTCATCAAACATTATCTGACCTCCCCCCATAATTTCCCACAACTGTGAAAATTAAAAATTATAAAAAGACAAAAAAGCTTAAAAATAAACAATTGATATTATACCTCAAACTTATAAAGAAATAAAAAGTGCATTCTACCAAGGCCTATTTATAAACCAGAGCAGCAGAGATGAAGCGGGGGGTGGGGGGGGAAGACAGGGCAGAGTCTATAACCCCACCAGAGTTCTCATTCAGGCCTTGGCGACACTGGCGCTGTACAGCGCTGCAACTTGCTGTGCTCAGGGGTGTGAAAACGCCCCCCCGCCCCGAGCGCAGCGAGTGCAGCGCTGTAAAGCACCCGTGTAATCAGAGCCTGCAGCGCTCCACGCTCCCTCGCAGCACTGCAAGCTACTCTCCTCGGAGAGGTGAGTACATACAGCACGGCGAGAGAGCGCTGGGAAGTCCCGAGTGTAGCCAAGGCCTCAGTTTAAGGGCCTGATTGAAATTGTAAATCACAACTATCACACATTGTCCTCAGTCCCATCCTCACACTAACAGCAGGAACCCCAGTGACTTCCAGAGGATGAATGAGGTTTGCAGGACATGGGATTAAGATGGGAGTAAAGAAAGGCATTTCCTTATTCCTAATCTTGATGCAGTATAGAAATGAGCTCTCAAAACTGGAGACTCTCATACAAAACCAACCTTCCACTCAAACTTCCACACAGCTGGACTTTACAAAAACGAGACAAGCCATTTACAACGCACACTTCACTTCTTTACCTGTCATAAGGGGCTACAACAGTGGTACCTTTAACTCACCCAACAATACTGTTAATCTCTCCAACCACACACTTAGCACGACGGAAGAGGACTCTCTCGGGGACTCTCTTTCTGCCCCACCACCCCCACGCACATGATACAGTTCTGTGGTGATCTGAAAGCCTACTTTCGCCATCTCCGACTCAAGGAATATTTTCAACACACCACTGAACAGTGCACTGACCCACAGGAACCCTCCTGCCAACACTGCAAGAAGAAGAATTCTGCGTGGACTCCTCCTGACGGTCGAAATGACAGACTGGACTTTTACATAGAGTGCTTCGGCAGACATGCTTAGGCAGAAATAATGAACAAACAGTATCACTTGCCCCATAACCTCAGCCGTACAGAACGCAATGCCATCCACAGCCTCAGAATCAACTCTGACATTATCATCAAAGGGGCTGACAAAGGAGGTGCTGTAGTCAGAATGAACAAGTCGGATTATGAACAGAAGGCTGCCAGGCAACTCTCTGACACCACATTCTACAGGCCACTATCCTCCAATCCCACTGAGGAGTTTCAAAAGAAACTACACCATCTGCTCAAGAAACTCCTTCCTATATCACAGGAACAAATCTACACAGACACACCTCTAAAGACCCGACTAGAGGTATTCTATCTGCTACCCAAGATCCATAAGCCTGGAAACCCATCATCTCAGGCATTGGCACTCTTACAGCAGGATTATCTGGCTATTTGGACTCTCTCCTCAGACCCTACACTACCAGCACTCCCAGCTATCTTCGAGACACCACCGACTTCCTGAGGAAACTACAGTG